TATTCGACTCACAATGTCGTTAGGTTCGGTTTTATTAATTTGGTCCACGGGTGTATCACTAATTTTGTTATACCATCTTCATTATCGTTTTTTGTTACGTCTACAAATATATTATTGTTCTCACAGTTCCATTTGACAAAAGGCATGCTATTAGATTATTTTCATTATTAATTCCATGTAAGACGAGTTCAATACTACAATGGACATCTGATATTAATGGGTTGAAATCAATAACTTTGAAATTCTTAACTAGTTTGAACAGATCTGAAGATAATAACACACAATCAATGACAGTTGAATCATTGCAAGTAACCTTACCAACATTTTTATCATCACCTAGTCTTCCATTTGATATATACAAATTGTTTAATTTACAAACATCAAGGAGCTTGTATCCAAAATTATTGATCTTAGATTTACGTTCACTAAACCTTTGTAGTGGTACATTATTCAACCTTAATGATTCAAAATCATACATAAACCAATAAAGATCATCATTTCTATTGATTTCAAGTATTTCTGCAAGACTATTGTCAGGTTCCACAAAATCTTGTCGTAGCTCTGTTTTGGCATTAAAATCGCCTATTAGTGAAACTTTGGTATCATCTTGACAAAAAAGTAACATTTCTTTTTCAATATCAGAAAATGCCTCTGGAGAAGAGTATCTAGAGTTTTCTGGGGGTATATATACACACCCCATAAGTACATCATGATCAAGTCGTAATACATGTTTCTGTATAATTACCCATTGTACCCACTCCGAATCACTTTTACAAAATTTTAAGTGGGAATGTATTTTTTTTTTATAAATAATGACAATCCCACCCGATTTTTTTTCATATTTTTTCTATGTTTCGCATCATACATGTACCCATCAGGTACGTCTAATATATCAAATTCATCCGTTTTACTTTCAACGCATATCAAGATATCATTGGTCTGTATTAATTGTTCGAATTCTGGTAGAATTAGTTTGGATTTAATTCCACCTACATTAATGTACGAAAGTTTTAGTTCCGGTGCAGTACCAGTCGGGTGACCTCCTGAGGTGTACCCCTAGCGGCGCTGGTGTCCGTTAGAGTCCGGTACCCTATCGTGTCTGTGTTGAGTACTCGGGGGCGCGGGCGCACCGTTCCACTGTTGGGCG